CCCCCCCACACACACTGCCTCAACAACACACGCTGCTCCACTTCACACACATCCATTCTCAATCAAATGCACCAAACTTCTCCCACATACTGTACACCACTTATTCTCCTGTCCAGCTAAATGCAAAACACAGTGTTGCAGGGATTCGTTCACATTCAACCACACACAATTTGAGTGAAGTAACGCTGGTACAGAACTAGTGCCTACGAAGGAATGGTCATGACATTTCATAAATCATCGTCAAAGAGAGGGGGGGGGGATAGGATGTCTTTTAGATTTGGAGGAAATGTCTCAAAGGCCTCTCCTTGAAGACGGAAATAAGTAAGAGTGCTAGAGGGAGAATGATGAAATTGTGTTTTCTCACCTCTACACACCCAGCCAATAAGAGTGGGATGTGGGTGTGATTATCGTTTTGTCTCTTTTAGAAAGTTACAGAAATGGTCAGAAACAGCCCCCACAATCTGTCTATCTCTTCTTTCCTTGCATGTCTTCCTCTTCCCAGTTCATAAAAAGCGTATAGGATTACATGTGTTTCGCATTTTGGATTTCACAAAGTCTCTCAATTGCTCTACCTACATGTATTACCCCAAAACATTTTCACAAAAAACCTATGACCACGGCCTTGAATCGATTTAAAATGTTTAAATATCCTCATATTTGTCAGCTCTCCATTGTCATGTAGCTGCTGTGGACTGACAGATGTGTCTCTCCTCTGTTTCCTGTCCTTCTGTCTCCTGCAGCCACTGCATCAATCAGATCCTGGAGAGCGTCAGCCACATCCACCAGCATGACATTGTGCACAGGGACCTCAAGGTGAGTTATCACATACCGGTGGTGAGCACTATCTATTGTTGCACGAAAGACGAGAGGCATTTGTGGAAATTCACAGCAGGTCTTAAACGCACGCGATGCTGCACACGTCATGCTGTGACGTCAAGAGCAAATTAACAGGCGCGTCATTCGTCCCTCTCTTCACCTACTTTAACGTATTCCCATGATCCTCTATGTCTGTACCTCCTCCCTCCCCCCCCCTTGTTCCCCTGCTCACTTTCCCCCTCCTGCACTGCTGAGGAGTGACGAGAGCAGACCAGCAGCTATTAATAGCGGGTCGTAGATGAGACGACGACCAGTGACGATTTCCCTCGCAGCTCCCGTTCACCTCTTTAGAAACCAAGAGCACTCTGACCTCCTCAGCTGTGTGATTTCATTTGATAATACGCCTCGATAGGATTTGAACACCTGGATGATTGCAGCACATTCATTTTATTGCCAGTTCAGAGCCATAACTTTAATAGTTTACTTTACAATCTGGTCTATTACTTTAATGTGATAGAGCAACATGACACCATTACTCTAGGGTAAGCAGACAAACATAATCGGAAAAGAGACAATCTGTTTTGTGTTTGAGCGGCGTAAATGGACCTGCTTTGCTTGTCATTGATTTTCTTCCGCCTCCAAGACTTTTAAAAGACAATAATGATGATAGATGATATACGGACAGAGGACAGAAATACATTACCAGCACATTACTTGTTAATTTACAACTCTCTTGATATGTAGATGGATGGAGCTGCCTCAAAACAAAAAGTCATGTTTATGAATATTTTACTCAGTGTAAACACAATATATTACATTTATTGTATTTCATTGCGTGCATTTGCAAATGTATTTGTCCAAAGCCAATTACAATAAGTGCATTATGCACACTAAGCAGCATTTATCTGTCTTTTAGCAGCTTCCTATGAACCCATTGTACACCGCCCAGCACAAAAAAACAGACAGTTATCAAAAAGCTGATGAACATAGTGAAGCATTTAGCAAACCAGAGCTAAAAGGAGAGTTCATATTGGAATGAGATGTTCTGAGGTGATCAGAAACACCTCTAAATTAGCACTAATGGTTCTCTGTATCTGCTGGATGCTAACAGAGGCAACTCTTTGCTAACATGTTTTCAACTGTATACGTTGTTTCATCTCCGCTCCGCTTAATGTAGTAAAAAAGACAACTTTTAGGGGTTAGATTATTTGCTGTTGAACAAACCATCCCATCATCTTGCAGCTAAAAAAGCACAATCTGAGGTTTTTCCAAGAATTTCCTGGAGATGAATCTGCTAAAAGTGACATCTGTATCGTAGCCAAGATATTTCTAATAACGGCAGCTAATTGTGTCACGGGGAGGTGTGACCTCACACATGCGTGCATCGTATCTCATCCTCGCTGAAGGGAAAACAGGAATTAGAGAGAAAGAGTTGAGTGCTGTTGGCTGGTGGCAGGCTGAGTTGCCATGGTAACTGTAGGGTGAGGTCACCCGGCTGCTGCAGCGCCAGCGTAGGGACTCATTATGCCACCTCACATCTATCTGTCTCTATCTGTCTCCCTCTCTTTCTTCCCTCTGCTGCTTTGACTCCAGCTCTGTCCCTGTGCAGTCCTTCCCCTTTTCTCTCTCTTTTCCATTGTTTCAGCTCCGATAGAGGGGGAGGAGTGAGTGAGGGAGGAGGGAGGGATGGATCGATGGATAACTAGATATAGAGAGAGACTGACGGATGAGAAGAAACAGACAACGAGCTCAGAGACGATGTCGGACATCTGTCAGCATTTGATATGATGAGGATGGCAAACCACTGCAAGGACTTTATCCCTCAAAACAGACCCCAGGCCTGCCAGTTGGGACTAGTGATTTAAGGATAGGGCAAAGAAAAACCTTTATTTTCCCTTATTGACTCCATTAACACCTGGTTTGTTAAACTGGACACCTGGAGAGATTCAATCTTCATTCTGCCTGACTCGTAAACATAAGTAAATAATGCACAAGTTGGTAAACAAAACATTTCTGAAGTCTCAGAAAGCAATTCACAATACTTAAAGGTTGCAGGCCGCGGGTCAGGGAGTAGGGCGCAGAATATTGCTTTTGCTTTTCCCATATTGCATTTCAGGTTTTGTTTTTGTTGGTGGAGCGTAACAGAAGAAAACTACACTGTGAAATACACTTGGACCTATCATTCATAATTTAGTGAGGGCATTTTTAGTTTTAAGAAAGTAATTTTCTTTCATTTCTAACTAAGCATTTGTTTCATTTTAGCAGAAATGTGTACAGTGCATTTACCACAAGTACTGTACTTTTGGCTTTGCATACTTTCCTATGGCTAACTATCATCAGTGGTAAAACTTGCAAGCCCTAGCTCAGCAGCCACCGTTGGTCATGTGACCTCGTCTTGCTTGTCGTTCCTCAAAAGTCTCCCAACACTAAGTAGCTCTATGGGATGGTTTCCCCCATTTTTCCCTTGCTGAAGAAGCCTTCTTCAGCTGTCGCTTTTTGAGGCAGCTTGAGAGGAGGTGAGGCCGGATTAAGTGACCTTTCAGCAGATATCTTTTCTCAAGACCGGGGTGTCACTGTTTAAATTCCATTTCCAACTGGCTGAGATACAATCTTAGTGTAAGCCAGACAATCTCCAGCTGAAAATGATAGCAGTGGAACTCCAAAAAAAAAATATAAAAACACAAAATTGACAATCACGAAGCAGAAGGCAGCTGTCTAGCCACTTGAAACGCCTCCATTGGACTCCTTTCTTTACTTCCCTAAATGCTGACGTCACTATGTAACCATTGCACATATTGGCTAGCTTTACAACACATTGTGTGTGATAGGCTAAGGGACAATACATCTCTATAGTATCAGCTATAATAGATATTGTGAAAAAAACGTAAAATAAGTGCATTTTAACAAGCTGTGCATCCATAATCTGTCCCTGACCTCGCACCAAATGACTCTTAACCTGGCGCGTTTCCTCGATTTCTCTCCCTCTCATCTTTTCATTAAAGCGACAGGAATTATGATTTAACGAGGCGCAAATGAGGGAACCTGTTAAACTAAATCACAGTTAATATGCGCTTTTTCTTTTCCAAGGCCTGACCGTTGCATGATTGTGTGATCAGAAGGACAGTGTAGAAAAAGATGGCGTTAAATACAGCTGAGGGAAAAGGTCTTTCCTTCAGGGGAAAGCCTCTGACCTGCTTGACCAAATCATGCCTCATTACTGCTGTAGACGTCATCTAGCTCCTGCAGCTTCTACAGTCATGCAGACATTTCCTACAGGGGGGGTACATGATTCTTTCTTTTGCCCCTCATTGTTTTCCTCTTAGCCTATAATTGTGCTACAACTCACTTTGTACTCTGCAAGCTGTAAAGAGTTTGTCCAAGGATAAATATTTCATCTATGGTCTCTTTTGATGCTGGCCTAAAAAAACACCATGTAATTAACTCATGATGGGAATCTGTCTCTACGTTTTCACGTTTTTTAAGCCACACCTCTTCTCCCTGGCCTTCTAATCAGAGTCCAGACTTTTCCCTGTGTTTTTTATATCTGTTGTAATTTATTGTCTTTTATTGTGATTGTAGTAATGTGTTTTTATTACATGTACTGTACAGCACTTTGGCTCGATCATGTGCTTTATAAATAAAACTCGATTTGATTTACATTCTACAGAAAAACATATTTAAAGAGGAATTTTAAACAGTCACTTACAACAGCCTGAGTGAAAATATTTCCTCCTAAAAATCGTTTTCTCTCTGCGTGTTTCAGCCAGAGAACCTGCTCCTGGCCAGTAAGATGAAGGGAGCGGCGGTGAAGCTGGCAGACTTCGGTCTTGCCATCGAGGTTCAGGCGGAGCAACAGGCATGGTTTGGTAAGATACAACTTTCTACTAACAACTTCAATATTTCACCTTATTGTTTTTACATATTCCATAGTTTACACTTCCATCGCTACGGTTTGCTTCAGGAAGGATATCAAAATAACTGCTTAAGAAAGAACAAAACTAGTGGCAGAATAGAGTATACGTTTCAGTACATTTTGATAACAATATGCTGTGTTTTTGTTACCGTATCAGCAATTAAGAGTGAACAGAATAGCAAATCATTTAAGAAAAAAAGTAATGAATAGCCATTTGTCCCAAAGTAAATAAACGCTTTCTTTTCTTGTCAAACAACAATTTTGTGTTTATAGTTTGGTTATTGATGTGAATATATGTTTACCATTCAAAAAGATAGAGGATATGACTTGCTTGTTTAATAAGGAAGGGGAGGAGTGTGGCGCAGTGGATAGAGCCTTGGTGTTGGGATCAGGGTTCAAACCCCACTGCAATCAGCATGTTGTTGTGTCCCTGAGACACTTCACCCCAAATTGCTCCTGTGGGGATTGCCCACAGTATTAAGTATGTGAGTCGCTTTGGATAAAAGCGTCTAACAAGTGACATGTAATGTAATAAGGTTAAAACCCTTAAAGCAGGATACATGTTGAAATAATGTCAATATGCTCATTTAGGCTATTCAAACGGGTGACACAGAGATCAGCTTACCCATAGTCTTGCTTGAATCGTGCTGTCCTAAATCTTTTCCTTTGACTGATTTCACACCAGTATACTTGTTTTTCTCGCAGGCTTTGCAGGAACTCCGGGGTATTTGTCCCCAGAGGTGTTGAGAAAGGACCCGTACGGCAAGCCAGTGGACATCTGGGCCTGTGGTCAGTTCTACTTTCTGTCTGTTTGTATGCTGCTGCATTCATATCTTACTCCATTTTTGTTTAGGATTTATTTGCAATATGTTAATAAATATGTGTTTTTGTTGTAAGGTGTGATCCTGTACATCTTGTTGGTGGGATATCCTCCCTTCTGGGACGAGGACCAACACAAACTGTACCAACAAATCAAGGCCGGAGCGTATGACGTGAGTACTCCTCTCCTGTTCTTATAGTTTCCTTCCGCTGTATCTGTTTTTGTAAGCTGCACGTGTGTTGTTTGTGCGCTGAAGTTCAAAGCAGTTCACCTGGAAACTGACCATTAATTATGAATAATTCAGTGTAGTGTTGTGGAAATGCACACATCATTTGTTTACGGTAAAAATGGAGAAAGTTAAGAGCACAACTGGGGAGGAAAAGGAGTTAAAGGAGACCTATCATGCTATATTTAAATGATATAGTGTATGACTAATAATGTAGTAATGTATATAAAAGCCCCATTTCCCCCTAACACTGAGGTTAAGTCTACTGTTTGATACTTCAAGTTATTAATTGTATCTTTTATTTATATTAAAAAAAAGATTATTTTAGCTTTAATAAATGCCTTATTCTCAGGCTCATCCTTTGTTGGCTGACTAAGTGTGTTTCTTCTTTTTGAATCCATGAAGATGAGTCTGTTAGAGAGCTCCATCTGTTTTCATAAAACTTGAATTACAATACATAATCATAATTCATGTGAATGGGAACACAAACACGACGAAGCCTTGGGATGAGCCCTACAGGACACCTTCAGTTCAAGTCTCGTCAAATTACACTCTCCGAATTCTGTCATGCAAGTCATGTAGAAATGTAATTTTAGTTTTTAATTGCTTGCTGCTTGTTATTGCATGATTTTCATCTAGCTGTAGAAAAAGGTCCTACACCATGAGAGAGCGATAGGCTTATTTATCAGATCTTGTCCTAGTCCTCTGGGAGATAGGAATGTATTACCCGTATTAAGTTCCATAATTGGAAGCAACCACATCTAATGAATGTGCATAATATGGGCATTGATACCAAGTGACTGTGACAAGCACTTGTAATAATATCCAGCATCCTCACTGTCATGCAGAGGCCTTCAATCTCATTTCTTTCTTTTTGTCAGTAATTGACAACTGACTCTTTAATGTTTGAAGCAAATGTATTTTGACAACTTGCTTTGAATTTGAGAAGCTAACATGTTTTACTATGCTTCTTAAATAGAGGGATTAGGGTGGCTGGTGAACGTGAAGGAGATAAAAGTACTCTGACTTTGAAAACTAAAGCTGCCTTCACACGATGCGCGATATAACAATACAATTGTCGCTGAGCAAAAAAGTGAATTTGAAAGTTTAGGTTTTAAGAAGTTCAAATGTATTGAACAAAAAAAAAAAAAAAACTCCCTGTCTGCTATTTGGTGTTAACTGTGTTTAAGCACATCTGCACAGACAGGTCTCTTGAGGCTCTACTTCCTGTAGATGTAAGCTACATTTCGTTGTCTTAGTACTTGTACTCTGCAATGACAATAAAGTTGAATCTTAATATTAATCTTACTTCCTGTATCAATTCTTAAATAATTCTTAATTTTTCTGAAGTGAAAGTGTGTTTTGCATCGCGAGTTCAATCCAATTGTTCACTCTCTATAATAAAATAAATATTGGCACTAACTCAAGAACAGTTTCTTCACTTCTGTGACTCAAACATATCATTTATGTTTTTTTAATTTATTTGTACACAGTATGAGAAATATAAAGCTGTTTTTGGAGCATTAAATCATGTGAACATTTCGCAGTAGAGGCTCAAATACTAATATGAACCTGAAAATGAGCAGAACAGTTGTTTCAGAATCAAATGCTCATCGAAAGCCTGATCGCTGTGATGCAGATTCTTAACTCTGCTCTTCTGTCTTTCCTCTTCAGTTTCCCTCTCCAGAGTGGGACACAGTGACCCCAGAGGCCAAGAACCTGATCAATCAGATGTTGACCATTAACCCCGCCAAGAGGATCACCGCCGACCAGGCCATCAATCACCCCTGGGTCTGCGTAAGTCACACAGCTCGCCTTCACAATACATCTTTTCCAGTGTCAAATATACCACCTCTCACACACTTACACAAACTCCCAGATTGACATTGCAAAATATATAAATTATTTCATATTTGACTCTCTTTTCAAAACCAAAACACATCTAATACCTCAATGAGTTCTACATTATGTACGCTAGCAGAATTGTAGTTTCATGAAAAATAAAACACACTGAATTCTCTGGATTCATTTATATTTAATGACGTTATGTTTATCTATAATGTTGTTTCCTTTCCTCTCCAAACAGCAACGCTCCACCGTGGCCTCCATGATTCACCGTCAAGAGACTGTGGAGTGTCTGCGCAAGTTCAACGCCAGGAGGAAACTGAAAGTGAGTGAGGAGCAGAGGTGGGAAGTAGTGGAGTACAAATACTTCCTTTCTGTACTTAAGTACATTTTTCTGGTATCAGTACTTTAGTCCACGACGCCTTTTTACTTTTACTTCTTACATGTTGAACACAAATACCTGTACTTTCTACTTCTTACATGTTGAACACAAATACCTGTACTTTCTACTTCTTACATGTTGAAGACACATACCTGTACTTTCTACTTCTTACATGTTGAACACAAATACCTGTACTTTTTACTTCTTACATTTCCCAAACAGGCTGGTTCCTTTAGTTTGAATGTGTGTTTGGTGGCGTGATCATTATTATTTAAAATAATAATGATCACGCCACCAAACACACATTCAAACTAAAGGAACCAGCCTGTTTGGAAAATGAGAGAAGTAAAAAGTACAGGTATTTGTGTTCAACATGTAAGAAGTAGAAAGTACAGGTATTTGTGTTCAACATGTAAGAAGTAGAAAGTACAGGTATTTGTGTTCAACATG